GGTGCTACTTATGGAATGAAGTGGTTGGGTTTTAAGCTTGGTCAGAACAACGGATAGTGATCTGCAGTGGTGATCTGCGGGCAATGATGTTAAAGGTTGGAAGGGTATTCACCTGAACCATTAATGGAGCGATAAATCATTCCCAAAGTTGCACTTAAAGTTTTGGTATATTAAAACAAAATGGTGACGAGTGAGTTAAGTAAAGTCTTAGCTTTAGCGAATCATTTAAAATGTACAGTATACAAACATTTAATAAAGTACACATATCTAACCTGACCTAGGGTTAAAAAAAAAAAATAAAATAAAAGTATGTATAATAATTTTATAGTTTTATATAAATAAATATTCAAAAACAAAGTTTTCATTTATGACTATGGATCAATAGCACAATGGTAATACTTCCATATTGTAATTATAAGGTCTGTAGTTCAATACTACTTAAGGACCAAAAATCAAAAATTACTTTTCTGATCAAGTTTACTAGTTATCCTATGAAAGTTATACTCAATTATCCGGATCCTGTCAAAATTAGTTAGGCTGTATAAAGATGGGATCTCTGGTCTTTCTGACAATTACAGGTTGAAATCAGATTGAAGCAAGAAAGGTTATATAAGAAAAGGCTTCTGGTCTAATTTCCATAAAAGTCTACAACCCCCCTGACATGGCAGACTCCATAACATAAACCATCCTTCTAGCTCAGAGTATCCCAATCTGATGCTACACTTAAATGAAAATTAGTTAAAATGGGACTGATCTGATGCCACAGATGATTACAAAGAAGGTAACATACCCCTTTTGAGATCTGAGCAAATAATATCTCTGGAAGTATTGGAGGATAAAACTAATCCCATTGGATATATACTATACAGCTTAGTTTAGCGAATATAATAAAAAATTTATAAAAATCTCACTGCTAGATTAGTCTGTCTCGCTATTAATGATTGTGTATTTGACCATCTGACTTCTGGTTGGATCTGCCCACTTTCTAAGTGGTAGTAGGTTCATTTAGAAATGATGTGATAGGTTATTATTAATCTGCATGTATATAGAAATATATAGTTTGCATAAGATGATTAATATCAATATCTAGAATTTTTAAATCCCTGATGTTAAGTAAATTCTTAATAAACATGCTTACATCTAATACCAGTTGCAGTTTAAAAAAAAAAAACAAAGTTTTTATTTGTAAAATAATATGAAACAATTGTACTTATCATAAAAAATATATATAAATTTAAAATTATTTAAAAAATATAATATATTATTTTATTTTGTTAACTTAATAACAAAAATGTTTTAAGTATTAATATTATAATTTGTTTTAAATAAAATTAAATACAAAGCTAAAAATTTAATAATATTTTGACAATTCTATAAAATTAAAGAAATTTATTAATAAAAATTTTGTAATTGCAATATAAGCATTGATAAAAAAATTATAAGTTAAATTTTAAAGTTAAAAATTAAAAGATATTTTTAATTATCAAAAAAGTATTTTTTCTATCAAATTTATTATACAATATATTTTAGAACTAGAAATAAAAAGATATTAATTATCAAAAAGAAATTTTCTCTATTAAATATATTATATAAAATAGTAAAAAGCATAAAAAAACTATTTTATTTTTAAAAAGACATAAAATTATATTTATAATTTAACTTATTAATATTATTATAATAATACTTAAAAATTGGAGAATTATTCAAATTTTCTATGTTAAAAATAAAAGATTTATTCTTTATTAATATAAATATATTTTTAATAAATAAAAAAAATAAAATTTTTTATAAAATTTATTAAAAATAATAAATTAAATAACTTATAATCTATAAACTAAAATAATTTTATAAAATTTTGATATATTAGAAATCTATTTTAATATTTAAAATAATATATTAAAAAAATTGGACTATTAAATAATAAAATCTATTTTATTTTATATTAACTTTTTAGATTTTAAAAAGAGATATACCATTTATTTATTATTATTTATAATATTATATTGATTTTTATTGTTCAATTTTTTTAAACAAATATAAAAATGAAATAATTTTAATTTAAAAGCTTAATTTTTAGTGTTGCTAAAATAGTTAAAATTATTAAGACATTTATTAATAATTTAAAAAAAACATAATATTTATAATTATATATTTTATCAATATTATTTTTAATATTAATTATTTATTTTTTATATATTATAATTTATTGAGAAATATTATTGTTTTAGATTTTTAATTATTTTTTTTTAAAAAAAATAATTAAAAATTTTAATATATAATTATTAATAAGTTTTAATGGAATTATAATAAAGATTTATAAGTTTAATTAATTTATTAATATAATATATATATATAATATAATATATAAAAATATTTTTATAGATAACTCTTTCCTATAAATCCTAGACCACTACTTTTAAAGAAGCATTTCTTCAAAACTTTATGTTTTAAAAATAATAAAACTTAAAACTTTTCTTAAAAACATTTGTTTCATTTAATAACAATTATATTCTACCCTTTTAATTTATTTTTTCTATTCAAAAACCCTCTATTAAAGAAGTTGATAATAAGAAAGTTTTTCTAGAAAAAAGAAATTATAAAAAATATCTTCTTTCTCTTTTCCATAAAGATATTAAAGTTTAGAAAAAAATGTGAATCAATAATTCTATGTCAGCTTGAGAAATTAATATCACTATTATAGGCAGAAACAACTTCTTTCTTAGTATATAGCAGTTTTTTTTTTGTTTTTCTGAAGAATTTTGTCTATTATAGTTTGACTTTAAATTTTTTGTTATACTAAATTTTGAATAGATTGATTGACTGAAGATTAGGATTGATTGCTTCATGATTAGTAGAAATGTAAACAAGAATATATATAATATATAATATAAATGTATTTTTTAAGCTCTATAAAATTTTTGGATTCATTATAAGTTATATATTACTATATAAATAAATAAATATTACATAAACTTTAATTTCTTTTTGCTTATTACTTTCTAAATGTAACATGGCTATGGAATAAGTATTTTGCTTACTAAAATGAAACTTCAAAAACTTACTCTATTCATAAAAATTATAACCATTTTTCCATTTCAAAATTATTTCAAAATTTTTTTATTTTGTTCAAATAGTTTTTTCATCCTTATATGACACATAATATTGCTAAATTTATACTCTTTCTCTGAACATATTCAATATTGATAAAAGGTCATAATCACTAAAATTATAAGAAATATGTACTTCTCCTTTCAAGAAACTAGCAAGTTCACTATAACATATTGGTTGGAAGAGATCCAGAAGAATTGAAAATCCAAATAAAGAGTATCTAGTTTTTTTCAAGATAATAGTAGCAATAGAAATTTAATTCAATCAGATATCTCTGAGCAACAAGTCACCTGGTAAATTCATTAAAGGTTAGGTTTTAGGGAGTTTATTGATGTAAATGATATATGACTCTATGTGACAATCTTTGTAATCTCTGTATTAATTTGACTATTACTTTATCAAAGTTAAATAAACATGACTGAGCTTCTATTTCAAAAAAAAAAATGTATACACAATATGATACAATATAAATTATAAGTATTATAAAAAATTTAATTAAAATTTTATTTGCAATAATATTTTTTAATGATTAATATATAAAATAAAGAAATCAACTATTAATATATACTTTATGAATTTTTTTTATACTTTATGTTTTAGAGATCATTATATAATATTTAAATATTTAATATACAGTATTATTTAAATATTTAATATACAGTATTATTTAATTATTATAATTTAACAATAATAAATTGTCGATTGTGATATTTTTAATTGAAAGAATATTTAATTGAATTATTAATAAAATAAAAATTCATTTTTAATATTGTATCTAGGATTAATTAATAATGAATAGACTAAAAACTTTAGTAAATATAAAAGAGATTTTTTATAAGTTAATTAGATATACCGTATATTGAAGTTTAACTGTAATTTATACTATGCTGCTCAAAAAATATGTATTTATATTTTGATAGATTAATAAATTCGCGCGGCCCATCTTTTGGTTCTACTGGTTTGAGGCGAGAGTAGGTTATGTCCTTCCCTCGCAGCTAAGGAAGAAGGCCAGTCTTAATTCGCGCCTAGAAACTAATCTTAATTTGAGACTCAACGAGCCTCTACATTCTAGGTCTTACACCCACGTGTTAACTAATCTCCCTACGGTGCCTCCCTCAAAAAAGGGTGCCACCACTGAAGGACTTTATCGATATGTGATGTAATAAACAGGAAATCGTTAGTAGCGCCGTAGCTTAAACACCTTTACTTATTAATTTACGCTTATTTAACTTTTAAAGTATTTCTGAAAATGTTTGTTTCCGAGGTCTTTATATAATCAATTGGGAAGCATTTTTAATTATCGAAAGTCATGATATTTAGGTTTTGAAGTTAGATTTGGATTAAGACAATTATATTAGACTTATAAATTTAAATGTGGAAAATAAATAGACTGTTCCAAAATACAAATTATTTGTGAACAGAAAGTAACATTTCCCCAAGATATGAAGTGGGAAGAGGGAACTGAATTCCTTATCAACTGTACTATAATTACTTCGCGATCATCAGCGAAAGCACTTTCTCATTCGTTCAAACACTTCATCGATATCTTTCCATTTTCCCTCAGCGCAATAACTGCTCCACCTCTCCACAAAGATCAACACCGCCGAAAAAAGTTTTTGTTGGTTGGCAGTGGTGGGCAAGTTTCGTTGTTCATCAATAATGGTCAAACATTCTAACGTGAACAGTGCAAAATATAATTTTAACAAGATGGTGGGGAGTAAAGTGAATAGAGATTGCACATTCTTGCGTTTGCGCGATGAAAGTGACGCCGAAGAATGTATTGATTTAAGAACTTCATGTAGCTTCGGATATAATTGAAACGAATTGTTATAAAGGATGCTTTTGAGAAAAGTCATATTGGTTTCTTGTGACTAGAAAATACCTTCTCAACACCATTATTAGCTTTCTTAATCACTACTCGTTGAAAATTAACATTCTTCGCATCCTCTTTAGTGTATCTCACTTGACACAGAAAGATAGGTTCTCTCGCTTCACCAGTATTTCTAAACTTTTTCGATTCAAGTTTCTTACACGACTTTTTCATTACATTTATAACGCTGTCTTCCTTAACAATTTCTTTCAAAAATTTTCGCTTAAACAAACTCTCAGAATTAGTAACATCATTATTTGCATCGTTTGGTTCATTATCTTTGTCATCAAACGTGGAAGCGAAACTATCTTCGGAGTCCAATCGTGTCCAGTCGCCCAACACGAATTTTCCTGTTTTCTCTATCATTTCCGCAACATTCCAACATTTCCAAATGTTGGTAATCAATTGTATACTTTCTTTCCATAGCATGGGAACAGGATGAAATCGTGATTGATATGCAGATATCCAATCTTCATAAACTCGAATAACATTCTCGACATTTTCTTCGCTCTCTTCATTCCAGAATGATTTCAAATTTTCACTACCAACTTTTTCATCCAGGCCTATCATTTTATCCAGCTCCGTTGAGTTTATCAATGAAAATCTGGTACGATACTTGATCCACAGTACAACCAATAATCCAGCATAGTAGGAGTACAGCGGCGGTAAACTGGACGAAATAAGATGATTCGCTTCACCATGAGCTATACGATCTCTCAACCTTGGGCCATCTGCGTGAACAAATAAATCAAGGATCAAATCCTAGTTTCCGCAGACACAAATTAGACATAGGTTATCTATCTCATACGGTAATAGAGGTCAATATGTACCATCATGCCGCCACCCAACTCTTCATAAATCAAATTTTTCGGTTCCTCGCCTGCACTCTCATCATCCGCTTTGATGCCATAATAAATCCAGTCAACATTTTTCTCCAATATGACATCCAATGTTAAAAAATATTCTCCAACTTCTGCTGTGCACATCCGATGTTCTTGCACTCCTTTGTTCACAGAAACAAATATTCTTCGCAAACAATGCTCAAGGAGAGGTAAAGAGAGAATTATAAATAATATTGATTGGTTTTGCGATAAGAAATATAGTGAGCGTGCCCAAGAGAAATGTGTGTAAGGCATTATAAAGAGGTTACGGGCAAGTAGGTCATTTAATAATAAACGATGAGGAAGTCTCGGTGGAATGGCTGTCGTGAGGATTATTTTTTTGACGAAGGCTTCCGATGAGCAAAGAAAAAACAAATAAAATACAAATAAATTTCTCAGAGGCAAATTATTGAAACAACCTTTTTCGTACATAATTCTCTCATATAGCCCGTGAAAATTGGTGTCATCATCACTCTTCGCCGTCGAGTCGCCACCGAAATTAAGGTCAGGCGGTGAATCCGTATGAAAAAATCCTTCAAAATTAACTCCACCTCTTCTATTCAGTGATTCCACACCGCCTTCACTCCCCACCTTATGGCAAATGCTCACAAGTGTTACTGTCATGAGTGCAGAATACCATTTGGCGGGAACGGGTGTAAATTCTTTGGGACTGATGAAACCATGCCAAAGAATATTTCTTAGATTCATTGAACTCGGAGGGCCGATCAGACAACGAAGGAAAAATATCATTTCTTCGCCCAACAATTTGACCAGGGATGGAGCAATTAGAAGATCACGGAGGAGATTTGGAATTGGTAATGTATTTCTATGCGTGGTGTGAAGTATCTAAGAAGATTGGAGATCCGAGGCACTATTCGTAAATTCACGACAGCAAACTATTTAATATCTTCATTGAATAACATACATCACCTAGCAACCTCTCCAAGGCGGAGATTTCCAAGAGCAGCGCGGTATAAAAATCTCGTTCAAAATGTAGATCAAAAATTCTTTCGAACACCTAACACAAATACCATTACTACGCGCGGAAACAATTTTTTTGAATTGACAAAAAAAAGGTAACCATAATTTAACTAACAAATTTTGAATTCATTCCACCGTACATACATCACCCTGTCCACTCCATAATATTTCTTTCTCGTATTTCTCCACTAAATTTTTAGAATCCAGAAAATTGACCGCGTTTCGGGCGAGAACCTGGATCTTCGTTGACACCCTTAAGAAAGGCTCCACCTCTGCGGTGTCATATGGACATTTTTCTTCTAAAATAATCAAAACAAAAATTTGTAAAAATATTCTATAATTTTATTATTATTAAAAAATCAGTTCGTCAATTACATGTTTGCTTACCATCGAATAAACGGTGGATAACTTTTGGTCTCAGAAAACCGTCTTCACAAAAAAATTCGTCCACATTTGAAGCATCTTTCGCTATGGTTCCACCAACTCCGATCATCTGACTAGCTTGGGTGCTCACGCAACTAGCCCAAAGGTTGGCAGATTCTTTCACGAGGAGATCCAAGTCATCATTTTCATTCGATAACGTCTGAGACAATTTTCCCAACCAGAACGTTCGGACGAAGGGGTTTAACGAATCGATTGACATCTTATTTTTCATGAATTAATGATGTGTGTAAGCAATTTACTTATTTTTTCCAATTACCGGCTTTCTACTGGTCTGAGCCAAATACACTCGTAAACAACATCAATCTGTTTTAGTTACGCAACGTTTATGTTGTTTAGATGAGCAATAAAAATTTTTTTTTGTGGCGAATTGGGCTTGGGAATCGGTACCCCACCACCATCATGTCATGTAGGCGCTTTCTGATTTTATATTAATTTGATTTTTTTTTTTTTTTTTTTTTTTTTTTTTTTCCTCCTTTCACCGATATCAGGGTAACTCATTTCGGAAAGACCTGGCATTTCGGAGGTTCAAAATATTTCGATTGATACTTCGTTCGTAACGAAGAATTCAAAGATTTTGTCTCGAACTTGTCAATTAAAAAAGCAAGAATAACAATTAGTGGTAAAATATTCAGTCATGAGTTCAGAGACCAATGATCCGATATATCTCGTGGCATTGAGTCCGGATGGTAATAATGTTGTTGTCCTTAACTCAGGTTGGTATTCTGAAGAGATGATGGTTCATTATTATTTATATCTAATGGTGACAGCGCTATTTGACGACCCTTTCTCTTTTGTCATCAGAAAATCTGGAATTAAGAGTCTATCGCACGGATGACCTTACGAAAATGAAGAAAATCTCATATTTGGGTCTCAACATCGTCAAGAATGAGAGTTCCCGTCTTACATGGTCACTCGCCATTTCCAACTCCATAAATCTCGGTTCCCATTCGGACTCATTGATCGCCATCTCGTGTTTCAACGAGAACGACAATCTGCTTTCCCAAAAAGTTCCGCGTCGCGGCGCAAGGAGAAAATCGCGAGATCACCTGACCTTCGATACGAGGGAAGAATCATCGGAACATCTGAACCTCTTGGAAGAGGGCAGCAGTCGTTCCGGATTCAGACCTCACACATGGATAATATCGACGTGGTTTCAGAATCGATTAACGACCTCTTTGGATAACATGGGAGGAGTGATCAGATTTCTCACCACCACTGGAAATCACACCACGTTCGTGATAGTGCACTCGATGGGCATCACCACAACCGAAATCGATCACAACTACGAAAGGGCAGATCTTTCTTTCAATCCGAAGAGCTCGATATCACCCACCGATGACTACTTTTTTCCTGCAATATTAACTGATCAAATTACTACCGACGAAGTAAACTTCCAATTACATTTATTTCATCGGAGCGTTGAGAAGAATTATTTCTTGGTCGAGGACTATGGTTCTGAAGTGTTGGAGATGTATAACTTGACGGACGGCGAGCTGTTCAAGATTTTTTACACGAAGGTGGGAAAAAATGAGGTGGTCAACGGAACTTCGATATTTGAGGTATCAAAGAACGACGTGTTCTTGGCTTATTGCCGTGGTACGAACAGTGTTTCCATTTACTTGATGGAAAATACTTTGGAGGTTGCCACCAAGATTTTCGAGGATATGTATCGAATCAACTCCATCGACTTCATAAGTGATGATGAGAAGTTGTTGCTGGTAGGCGAGGAGGAGAAAGTCGGTGAAGACTCGACCACAGAGTTGATCACGGTGATTTTGGTTTGGGATTTATTTAGTGAATCCGAAAACTCCATAAGGAAAATCGAGGACATCCAACGTGTGATCCCAGCGAAACCACATGAACATTATCACAAATTTGCAAGCGCCAGCGGGAAAATTGTTTACGTCAACGAGGATGATGGAAGTGTGTGTTCTGTGTTTGATCACCCCGGGCTTACGACAGTGCTAAATGCACCACCACCGACTCCTATTGTAGATCTCGTTAACTTGAACATGCAAGCTTTTCATAGTGGACGTGGTTCGGATATGTACCACTATCTGTACAGATTGGACGGGCAATTAGTCGACGCTAAGAAAGAACCCAAGTCCACACTGATTGTAAGCAACCCTGAACCGTGGGTACGATTTAAAAAGTATCCACGCGTATCGGCGTATCTAAACGAGGAGAAAACTCAACAAGTGATCATCGGATACACGACAGTCCAAGTGTGGCGACGTAAGGGAAAACCAAAACCTCGAGAAATTCTTCAATATATTTGGTCCAGTCCGGAGGGCAAAAATTTTCAAATTATAAATTTTTCAACTGGCTCGGGAAGATTCTTCTTGGAAGTTTCGGTCGGACCTGAGGGAGATCACTACCAAATTCGCTGGCCGCATTCTTACTTCTTGTTGGTTGACGCGTGCAAAGCTTTGGGACACCTCTACGGTCGGTGCAGCGATCAATTATCACCAAAGAAACAATATATCTTTGATAGGCTGAATCAGCAAATAGCAAGAATCATCAAAAAGTTCATCAAGAAGAGCCCAGAAATTTGGAGGTTGATCGAAGTGCGATATGAGATCATGGAGAGTTTGATACGAGGAAACTGCGTCTCACTGATCAGGTTGATATTGTTCGAGGAGGACAAGAAAAAGAACAAGACACGGACCAGTAAACAATTGCATTTTCCGAGGTTATACGCGTGGCCCAGAACACAGAAGAAGAGCGATTTGGAGGTTGCGATTGAGTGTGCGGGAAACCGTTGGAAGGACACAATCATTGTAGGCTACCTCTTGAACTATTACGCCGACAACGCGATGAAAAATGCAGGATGGATGTTTAGCGTCTCTCAGGCTCTCCCGAGCCTTTATGACCATCATTTAGGTATCTATCTGTGTGCACATGCTGTGTACATCGCATCGTTGCACCCAAGTCTTTAAGCGTGACGATTAATCCTTTAAAAAGATTTTTATATCAGAGAACTATTTTATAAACCGATCTTTGGGAGAAAAGAAATTCACATCAACCGATCGTCTGTAAGAAAAAACGATTTAGTGGAAGCACACTTTAAATCTTTTCACGCCTTAGACATTAAACCGCGACTCGCGAGGAGGGCTGTTATCACTCGCGCGGAGAAAATGCGATCGTTGACTTCTTTATCATTCTTTAGGAAAGAGATTAGGGAACTCGAACGTGACGCGAAAAAAATGGGGTAATAATGAATGTTCAATTTTGTCTGGCTATGATGCGGATACGAAGGATTCAAGTTATTCACGACACTCTCGTTTTTTTTTTTTTTTTCGGTTTGATAGCATACTCGATGTGGTGAAGCATGAGTCTAACATTTTAACAACTGTGAGATTGGTTCCCCTCCCAGGTAAGGATCAAATCAATCAGCGACCTCTCGATAATCAAATATTTTTCCTTTTCCTTTTTTTTTTTTTTTTTTTTTTTTTTTTTTTTTTTTTTAATCAAGATTTCACCGTTTACCCGCCCGGAATCATCAAGGACTATGCTAAAACTCCGCTAATATTGCGCATCATCAAAATCATTCTCTGGCCTCGTGGCTACATCATCACTAATGATGCGGATTGCAGTCCATTCCTCCGCGTGATCCAACGTGACAGAACTTCCGCGATCTTCGACAACCCTGCCATGGCCGCCGTCATCGACTACAAATGGTCAGCTGCCCGGAATCACTTTATACGTCATTCTTTGATTTTCCTCTTCTTCGCCACTGTTTTCTACGCGATCACGGGAGTAATGCACGAGGGTTCCGACGTGGAACCTGACGTTTCTAATGAGATAAACATAGCCTTTCAGGTCGTGTTCTTCTATCTCGGATATTATCTGTTGGCCACGGAGTATGTACAGTGTAGGCGTCAGGGCATATTCAGATACGCGACAATCTACAATTTCTTCGATTTGGCGGCGGTGATTTTACCATTGTCGGTTGTAATCATGGCAGACCTTATGTTCATAAGAAAGGAAACATTCAACATACTTACACTAAGGGGATACTCTATTACGTTGGCGTTTACGACTTTGATCATGTGGGGTGAATTGGTGAATACACGTTGTTACCAAAATTATTTTGAAATTTGAGCTAACAATTGCCTAATTATTATTATTTATTTTTATTTTTTTTTAGTTTTTGCTATTGAGGTTCTTTAGAAGTATGTGGGAGAGATTTATTTCCAAGTCTATTTGATTTTTCACAAATCTGTTCACCTCATCTTCAACACACAGGCCCGGCGAATTTCATTTACATAATGATAAACATTCTAAAGAAGGTGTGGCCATTCCTTGCATTCATGCTTATTGTTGTTATTGGAATAGGTGAGAGAAGTTGATAATTTTCCATAACTCCTTATAAATCATGCATGAATCCACTTACCTACAAGATCAAAAAACCCCCCCCCACATCAACCAAAGGTCACGCGATGTACCTCCTCCTGCGCAATCCTACCGAGATCGGCGTCACACCCAATGGTTCGTCATACTTGATCACGGACGCCTCGGACACTGACAAAAATCTCTATCCCAACATCACCATCTCGCAAACGTTCGACGTCAGCAGTGTGAACGATAACTATTTCTCGTCATTCTGGAAGTCCACTGAGAGCGTGTACTTTTGGTTGAACGGGAGATGGGACCAGTTGGAACAATGGGATTATTTACCAATTGATATTCTATCCCTAAGTATGTGTGATGGTGAAATGATAATATGTAGGCTTTGCTTTTTTCTTTTTTTTTTTTTCTCAGCAAATTTTTTTCGCATCTTTGAATAGCGGCGAGTCTTTTGCTTGTTACCGTGATGCAGAATATGTTAATCGCGTTCATGGCGTAAGTTTTTTTATATAGCATGCGGTTTCATCATTCATCTTCAATATTCTCATCCCCCAATCCTCTTCATGCACCGACTGACCTGATCATTACAGCGGTGTATTCGACGATGCAAATTCTTCGGGGAAGGATGCCGTTCTCCAATACCGAGCCGAACTGATTTCCGACTATGAAACCTTGGAGAAACCTTTCGGGATGGACCGAGGCAACCCGCGATGGATCTATTACGTTGGCCGCACCGATGAAACTGCCGATTGGTTGAAGAAAGCTGAAGAGTACCGTAGTGAACATCGAACGCTACTCGGAGTGTATCAGGAGAATGTTTCGGGTCTAGAAGATGGTGAAGATAAAGCGGATGAGACGATAAGCGACGACGACGACGATGATGATGACTACGATGACAATAGTTCCCGTGGGGACGAGGAGTTAGAAGTTGTTAAAGAAAGAGGTATCGTTGAAAGTAGAGGATTCGAGAATATCGAAGAGTTGCAAGAACGTGTCAAGGGTATGGAGGATAAAATCGAAAGACTTTTGAGGCTATTAGAGGGAAGGGGAAGAGGTGGTTGATAGATTAATTATTAAAGGTTCCCGTGAGGAAAGAAAGAACGCCTGTGAAGAATAACCCGGTATACGTGAACGATTTTATTCTTTTGAAATTGGTTTCCATAATTTACGTAGCATCAAAATGGAATTACAAGAACATGTGTATAATCAAATTAACTATTATTTGGGAGCTAATATTATCTTTTAATCACATTATAAATAAAATGAAAAATTCATATTTTTTCGTTACTTATGAAAAAATAGATCACTGCCGAAAAAGTTTTTTGCGAGGTCAACAAATCTTGAGTAGACATCGGCTCTTATGCTATAGGCCAGAAAAAGTATAAAGATAATCCCCAATAAACCCTTGAATCCACTACCACCACCATCTTTCTTTTTATTGAAGAACAACCAATTCACGATTTTATAATTTCGTTCGGTATAAGGGGGATAACGAAATTCCATCAATTTTTCACAAACGAATGGTGTGCTCATCACAGGTCGTTTGTGGATAAACACATCAAAACTTCTCTTTCCACGATAACTTCCTATTCCCGAGTGACCCTGACCACCAAATGGTAATGTGGGCACTGATTTTTTTTTTTTGAGAATTGTAGTAGTCAGGTTGGATGATAATATAATATAATGATTCGGCGATCATCAATAACAATTTGAGATGCTTACCAGTCGCTTGCATGAGACAATCATTGACAACCGTCATACCAGAACGAGTGTTATTGAGAACTATTAAAACAAAATAAAATAAAAATAAATATTTAAATATATGCATGCATATTTCGTGAACCGAAGAAAAAAATACTCTGGCTTTTTAGAAGTGTTTACTCACTGTATTGAATAGTTTGATTACTCGCGCTAAAAGGATAGAGAGATAGGGGAATATCATTCGATCTCACAAATTCAAGCGCCTCCTCAATATTATTAACAACAACCATTGGAAAGATGGGACCGAATATTTCCTGTTGCATCAATACATCATCCTTCGGGACATTGGAAACTATTGTTGGAGAAATATATAAACTATCTCTGTCGGTATTGCCGCCGTAAGCAATCTTTCCGTTGGTTTGATCCAATAAACTCTTTAAACGGTCAAAATGCCTCTGATTAATTATGCGACAATAATCCTTATGCTCCTGAGGATTTTCACCGTAAAGTTCTTTGACAATTTTCGGAGCTTCCTTGATGAAAGCCTCTTGCACAGATCTCTCGCAGATAATATAGTCTGGTGCGACACATGTCTATGAAGATTATGAGAAGTTAACAAGATAAATTCATTAAGTCAACATTCGCGCCAACGGAAAACCTACCTGCCCGCAGTTAAATGTTTTACCCCAAAGTAGACGTTTTGCTGCAATTGGGATAACCGCATCATTTGCGATGATCGCTGGACTCTTTCCGCCAAGTTCCAGGGTCACGGGTGTTAAGGATTTAGCGGCCTCGGTCATAATGATTTTACCAACATGCCCGGATCCAGTATAGAAGATGTGATCAAATCTGAATTTCAATAGAGCCGAAGTCTCTTGACTTCCTCCATTCACAATACGATAGGCATTCTGGTCTAGGTACTTGGGAAATAGTTCGGTAAGTACGGATGATGTGTTCTCCGCAACTTCCGAAGGTTTGAGAACCGCTGTGCAGCCGGCTGAAATCGCACCAATGAACGGAGCAAGTAAGAGAAGGACAGGATAATTCCATGCACCAATTATCAAAACGGTTCCTAGAATTTGTGGTTGGATTGGGAAATAACGGGTAAATCTTGGCATTCGCACACAAAACCCATGGGTAATCGTCAATTCGCTAATGACTTACCAAGTGGTTCCTTTCTCAAATGACAGCTATTTAACTTGTGCGCAATGCCAACTTGAACATACTCGGGTTTTACCCAATTATCAAGATTCTCGATAGCATCCAATGACTCTTTCTTGCACCAAGATATCTCTCCAACCATTGATTCGATTTTTGACTTGTGAAGGTCTCTGTACAAAGCATCGCATATCCTATCTTCATTCTCTTCCAGCAAATCGTAAAGTCGTTCTAATTGTTTTTTTCGGTAGATAACCGGTCTCGTTAACTGGTCAAAGAAAGACTTGCGAAGATCGTCGATTATCTGTGCGTGGGAATCGAATGAAAGGATGAAGTACAAAAATCAATTAGAAAACTTTTTTTTTAAAAAAAAAGAATCTATGAGACAAGGTCTTGCCTGTGGGAATTCATTCGTATTTGCGTAGGTTAACATGATTAAGAGAAATAGAGAATCGAATACATCTGAAGGTTCTATTTATACGTAAATCATTAAACGAAATTGGGATGCAACTGGTACTACTATGATGTGAAGTACCATTATGAGCTTAAACTATTTAAAAAAGATCGAATGTGGTAAAGCAGATTCAATATGATAAGAAAATCAATAGGTAGGTAAGTGATCAACATTGAGGTACAATAATTCATGTCTTGAAGGAAGCCCGACTTAAATGTATTAAATCACGTATGGCTATGTCCGATGCAAAATTGCCGTTTGCGGTCAACTCTCGGTAAAAGAAACTGCGTACAAATAGTTGGTTATCGAAAATTCGATAAAAGAAAATTTGATACACGGGGGATTTTCGAAAAATCCAAAATTTTTTTAAACGTAAAAAAGCTGTTACATATTAAATTTTTATTTTACTAATACCATCTCTTTACATATTAAGTAAATGTAATCTACACAATGATATCTATATACTTCGAACGTTTCGTAAATTTTAATTGACTTTTTATTATTATCATTTAAGCTCTGCATCTATAAGAAAAATTTTTTGATTTTTGACTTTCATACTAATATGCATTTTATTTTTAAATCCAGCATTTATAAATTTCTAAATTAATTTATAATCATGGTATCTTATATATCTTTTTATTTTATCATGTAAATGGAATTATTACTTTTTAAAATGGATCACATTTATAATGAAACTTTTGTTAAATTTCAATGAAAATTATTATATTGTATATACAGTATAAATTATTTGACTTTTTTGAACTACTAAAAATTAAAAAAAGTAGTAAGTCTTAAAGATACTTTTCAAATTAATTAAATCATAATATTTTATACAGAAATTTTTTTTAATTCACAATCAAGTCAACATAGCATATCTTTATTGTATATATACTAGATATTTATAAAATATTGTGACTTTTATATGTTAACTTACTCATTATCAAAAAGTTATTTCTCTACATATAACTTAAGAAATTATATTTTGCTTATTTACAGGTTTGGATAAATACTTAATTAGTAAAATCATTTTCTATAGGTTATTGCTATAAAAAAATAAAAAATATTTTTATTTAATAAAATAATAATTTATTATATATAAATATTTAAACTATAATTAATATTAAAAACAAACTTTTTTTATTATTAACTTAACAAGATTAAGTTATCATAAATAAATAATTAAGTCAATGAGATTTTTTTTTTTTAAAAAAAAAATCAAAATTACATTATTATAATATATTTTTTAATAAGTATTGGACTTTTATATAATGATTAACTTGTCTTTATATATTATTAATTAAAGAACTATATTACTAAATTTATAAAAAGTTCACTAAGTTAGTTTGAATTAAACAAAATTAAGTTTTAATTGAATATTTTAGATCAAATTTAAAAAATAATATTATATTTTTCTAGTATTTTAATACTTGATTTTTAATTACTAAATCATTATTAATAGTAGATAATTATTAATTAACTTAAAAAATAATAAATTGTTAAAATATAATTGAAGAAATAAATCAAAAATTCAAAGTTTCTTTAAAAAATTTTTAATTTATTTAATGATCTTTTTTAAAAAAGTTTTGTTTAATTAAAATATTTTTTAGTTTTATAATATTTAAGAAATTTATTTTTTTTTAATATATAAATTTATTTATTATATTATTAATATTAATATTATATTATATAAGAGTTTATCTAATTAAAATAAAAAAATTTCTTTAAAAACTTTATTTAATTAGAAAAAGCCTGAAAATCTTAACTTTTGTTTAATAAAATCTTTTTATTACTTAAAAAACTTGATTAAAGATAGAAATTAATTATTTATATTGTTTATTACTTATTTTTAATATTATAATTGTCTTTAAAAAAATTTACTCAATTGAAAAAATATATTTTTAAAGATTCTTTTTTACTAATCTTCTATAACATTACCAAAAAATGTATTACAATTAATAAAAACTTATTTATATTCTATTATTTACTGTATATATTTTATATCAATTAATTGCTTTAATAAAACAATATTAATTTATATTATTTCAAAATTTAAAATCAAACTAAAATAAGTAAAAAATTTTGAAAAATAAGTAATTGTAAAAAAAGTAACAATAGTAAGTAGAAAAGTTTTCAAGATTTATATTTTTATTTATTTATCATTTTACTGCATAAAATCTTTATATGTAAATTTACTCTAAAAAAGATATATTTGATATTATACTATTAACTTTTTTTTTGAAATTTTTTTGATACAAATAAAAAAAATGTTTTTTAACTTTTTTAATTTTCAAAAATTATATTTTTGTATAAAAAAATATAATTAAAAGAAAATATAGAAATAACTTTTAAAGTTATTTTTAAATTATTTTAAAAAATATAATTATATTTATTATATAAAAAAATAAAATTTCTTATAATTTCTTTTTTAGATATTGTTAGAAATAAAAAAAAAATCTAAAT